AATCCTAAACCCCTAAACCCAAAATCCTAAACCCCTAAACCCTATATCCTAAACCCCTAAGCCCCTAAACCCTAACCTTAAACCGCTAACCCCTAAACCCCCAAACCCTTCAAACCCTAAACCCCTAAACCCCTAAACCCCTAAACCCCTAAACCTTAAATCCTAAACCCCTGAACCCAAAACCCCTAAACCCTAAACCCCTAAACCCTGAACCCCTAAACCCCTAATCCCTTCTTCAAGCCAGCCAGGCGCTGGACCTGGCTGCGCTGGCTGAGAAGTTTGAGTTCTTGGAACGACGGGCCGAGCGTCTCAGAAAATGCAAAGCTTGGAGGTTGAGGAGTTACGGCTCGTAGGGTTTAGGGCTTGAGGGATTTAGGGTTTAGGGGTTTAGGGTTTAGGATTAGGATTTAGGGTTAAGGCTTTAGGTTTAGGGTTTAGGGTTTTATGGCCCAGGGGTTCCGTTAGGGGTTTAGGGTTTTGGGGCTCGTAGGGCTTAGGGGCTTATGGGTTTACGTGTCTGGGCTACGGTTTAGGGGTTAGGGTTAAGGGTTTATGCCTGAGCCAAGTGGTGGGGGTGCTGCTGCAACAAGGGTACCGGAGGGTCGGAACGGATTTGCACTGTAGAATATCGGGCTAGAGTTTGTACTTCAATCAAGGTTCATGGCTAGTTAGAAGTCGAGTTGCAAGTCCTAAATCGGGGTTACCTGTAGCTATGCCGGTAGGGCTTTGAGCTTATTTTGGCTTACATATATAGATCTTTTGGTTTAAGTTTATTCCTCTGCGGGTTCCGGGTTTAGGGCTTAGGCTTTTGCTAAGGGTATGATTCAGGATTTCAGTCGCTTCACTTTCTCTTAGTTTGCTGGGTTAAGTGGGGTTGCGTTTACAACTGCTCCTTCCGGGAAGAGTAAGAATGCTGCCACCACCCGACATACCTGCGATCAAGATGCGGCAATTCTGCTATGTCTGCGAAGTAAACCCCAAAGGCCCAGGTGCACAAGTCGATGTGCAGGGCTGTGATGCAGCATCCGACCCTAAACCCTAAACTGTGTGACTACAGCATAGAAGCCCTAAGCCGAAAGCCCTATATAACCCGCAATTCAAAAGCGCAACGCCGAACCGCAGCCCACTTGTTGATGTTGCTTCACTTGCGGTTATCAGCAGCTGTTCTTGAGCATTTCGGACTTGGTGGTTTAGGGTTTTTGAGATTTTGGATTTTGGGGCAGGTGTCAAACTTTGGGCTTTGGAGTGCTTAGGGAGGGCTTGCAGGCCTAGAGTTAAAGCAAATACTGACGCTGCTGGAATGTCGGCGAGCCTTCGTTTTTACGATGGCTTGTGAAGTGCAGCAGAGGACATGCTTATAAGTCCAAGGCAGCAAGGGCAAGATCCCATGTTCAGGAAAGACCTGACAGTGCAGTGTTTCTTGTCGGTCTGGCGTGTTTAGGGTTTAGGGTTCGGGGTATGACGAGCCCAAAACATGAACACCCCCTGCGCCCTAACTTTGAACCAAGAGCCCCGGAACCCTAAACCCTGGACCCTAAACCCTAGACCCTAGACCCTAAACCCTAAACCGCCGGAACCCTAAACCCTAAACCCTGGACCCTAATCCCTGGACCCTGAAAGACTCTTCCCGGACACCTCGATTCAGGTGATCCTGCTCACAGGGCCGGAAGGTGCTGGCAAGACGACTACTTGCAGGGACCTCGGATGCCCCCAAACCCGGAGCCATGCATGGGTTTAGGGTTTAGGGTTTAGGGATCCTAAACCGGAAGCCCTACTTGGGGTTTAGGGTTCAGGGAACCCGCAACCTTAAACCCTACGGCTTACAGCCTCACAGCCTGGAGGAGGGATCGAGATTGCTGGGCTTGAAGTTTTGGTGCTTCCGAGTGTGCGCTCTAGTGGATGCAGTATAGGAGCCTTCGAAGTTACCATAGTGTTGTGTGATGTATCCTGATATACTGTCTGTAGCTGTGTTAGGAACTACGAGGGGGCACTTCAACTACAAACTGTGACCCCATATTCATATAATCATGTGATTTCGGAAACAGGGTGCAGAGACAGGCAGTCAATGATTCTGGCACGTAGGGCTTTTTGGGGTGTGCGGCTCTACAGAAAGTCTAGATGTGAACAGAAGAATTTGATGTATGGTAGTACCAACAACGGTGATCTATCTGATGCCATGTGATAACCTATCAAGGTGCTCACAAATATATCCATGGCAGACAGCCTGACAGCCTCACAGGGTCTGAGGTTTAGGGTTAAGGATTCAGTGTTTAGGGTTTAGGGGTTCAGGTTTAGGGTTTAGGCTTTAGGGGTGTAGGGTTTAGGGTTTAAGGTTAAGGATTGACTTCAGGCTCAGGCTTTATCTGGAAGCGTGCATCGTCTTTCACGGAAGCCGCAGCTCATAGTGCAAAGCAGCAGGTAGTGGAGTGCAACCAGACGCACGATGCCGTGTGCCTCGGTCACCGACCGTTTGATGCTGCTGCTCAGTGCGTTCAACCTGCTGCCTCAGGCGATTCCCATGCTGTGGGGACAAGATACTTAGTAGTTGAGCTTGCAAACTTTGACATGTTTGGTCTAGAACACCCTAACCCTCCAGGTACCTACTATCTAGGGCCCTAGGGGCTCTAGTACCCTATATAGTAGGTACCTGGGGGTTTAGAGACAGATTTCTGAATTCTGTATTTCGTTTGGCCCATGAGCCGGACAACTAAGGACGCCGTTCTGGCCATGCTCTCCAGCGATGAGAAGGCGAAGTTGGAGTCGTCGGGGTTCGCCACATGGTGTCTGGGTCCTTGTTGGATACAATCTTACATTTTTGTTATAATAAAACCCTGATAAGGATCAAAAACGATCAATTTTAATATGGCCCCAACATGGAACCAGGTGCATTATGCCGCATTTAGGCTGCTTGCTCCTGGTCCTCGCCCTGCTCTGCGTGCTGGCGACCCAGCTGGACCGCAAGCCGCGCTGTGCCATGCACGCTGTGCTTTTGGTCTACAACGGCTCCTCGATCTACTACCACTACAGGATGATGCTAGTACAAGGCTCCAGGGACTTAGTAAACCACTTACAAGTAAGGTTGTGATAAGGATAGGCCTGCTTAGGGGACTCACAACCCCAAATATAACCTACCCCCTAAGTCCCCCGAGCCCTCATAAGTACAAGGCCAGAAGCCACTTCCGCCCCCATGGTTCCACGAGCCGGAGACCTTCTGGTTCAACATCTACGCGCTTCTCTTCAGCACTGCAGTCAACGGAATTGGCACGATGGCTGCGCTCCTCGGAACGGATCCGGCTTCAAAAGATGGAGTCAAGAAAGACTGAGCAGGAAGTGCAACTTCACACAGAAACTCTGGCACTCACATCCGGGGCTGTTCTTCAGCTTTCCCACAGGCCCCTAAGTAGTTCCTTTTTGGGATTACCTTATAGGATTCTGAATATAAACCACAAAAAGGAACTACTTGGGGCCTATGGGTTGAGCAGCAGTCCAAGATGAACCCGCCAGAGCGCCGCAGCCGGTCAGCGCTTCACTTACGCTTGCTATACCCAAAGATCCGAACCAAAAAGTGCCATGCGCCTTGCGGCTAGATTAGGGTGTGGGGTTGAGAGTTAGGCGTTAGGGTTTGGGGTTAGTGTTTAGGGTTAGTGTTTAGGGTTGAGGGTTTAGGGTTCAGGGTTAGTGTTTAACGACTGACCCCCAATTGAGGATATGCAGTGGGAACAGGTACAAACGGGCGGCAGCCCAAGATCACCAAGCAGCAAGCAATGCCAAATGATGGCATTGTGCGAGATGATTTGGTGTAAGTATGCCAGTGCCAAGGCTGGTAACACCAGCATCAGGAATCCAGCGCACCCTTCAAGCCTCAGCGAGACTCTAAACCCAGATGCCGAAGAGTTTTTGGTTTAGGGTTTAGGGCCGTAAGCCCTAAAGCGAAGAAGTGGCCGAGGTCGATTTTTTTGTCGTTTCTTTGGGGCGCCTGGCCGGCTCTTCGCCGAGGGCGTGGCGCTTTTGGGCACGAAGGCCAGGTCTGTTTCGAGGTTTTGGGGATTAGGGTTTAGGGTTTAGGGTTCTAGGGCTCCTGCAACTTCTACTACCACTACCACAACGACTCGTACGACGACGCTGGCGACGATGACGAAAACTGCTGCTCACGCTGCTGCTGCTGCTGCTGCTGCTGCTGCTGCTGGTACTACTACTACTACTACTACTACTACTGCGACGACTACTACCAGCACAACTGTTGGTTATTATCACTATCAATAGTTGTGTTGTTGCTTTCGGGTTGTGGAGTTTGGTTTGGGGATCCAGGGTTGTGGAGTTTGGGGATCCAAGGTTGAAAGGGTCGTCATAGGACTTTGAGCACGTTCTGTTTTGGGCTTGGGGTTCCGTGCAGCTTTTGGGGCTCGGGGTTGCGGTTTCTAAGAAGATGCCACCACAAGTGGGTATAGCGATTGCGGGCTAAAATAAAAGGATCACCGACATCATCTGCTATGATTGCCAGCATCTGAATCCTCATCCTGCTGGTTATCACCACAAGCCTCGGTAGCATCATAGCGATATCATGGGCAGAGGTTTGCTCCAATCTCAATGGTGAGTTAGGGGGGGGGGGGTAGCCGTCAACGCCACCCCAAGCCCTACACCCTAATTCCATCACACTAAACCCTAACTCGTAATGTAGAAGCCTGAAAACTTCACAATGTTTCCTTGGTTTTTGTATGTAGCACAATATACCCAAAACCATATTCTTGTTATGACGATTCGGCCTCAAGGTTTCTGACTTAGGACTCCATAGCTAACATTTGTGGGATTTGAGGCTTGTGGGTGTGTCGAAAACGTGAGGATTCTGAGCCCAATACCCCTTAATTAAGGAATAAACCTTTTTAAGGTATATTCCTTAATTAAGGGGTATTGGGCTCCCTGGGTCCTGGTGAGCACCCTCTATCATGAGAACCCTCTTGCTTGGGGTCGTGTTTACTTCTCTGTCCTTTCGGGCAAACCAAATATGTGGGATCGCATAGACAAGAGGCAGTTGAGTTCGGGAGGCACCCCAAGCCCGAAATCCCGAAACGCTCAACCCGAAAACAGCAAAGTAGCCAGTTCTTCTGTCCCTTGAAGGAACCCATAGATAAAGAAACCCTGAAAGGAACCCCCTGCAGTAACCCCACAATCTATAAACCCAATGTCATATCCTAGTAGGGTTCTATAAATCCTGAAACACCCTAAACCCTAAATCCAGATTTTCTAGGAGATGGAGCTGCTGTTCGAAAAGGACGGCTGCTTGCAGCACCTGCTTGCCAAGGCTCCAACCCCAGTGTTTCTGAGTCCACGTAGTGTTTGTAGGATTTAGGGTTTAGGGTTTAGGGTAGGTAGGTTTAAGGGTTTTGGATGGTTTCGTCTTCAGAGTTATTTTTTGCTGGGTTATGGTTTTCGTTTAGAGGGATCTCCAACAAAGTTTTTTGCCTGCCCTCCAACGGGAATAGAGTGTAGTGTTTAGAAGAGTTTTATTTAGAAGGGGTGTAGGATGGAAGGCTCAGGCTTCTTTGGGGGGTTGATATATTTTCCTGGGTTTAGGGTTTAAGGTTTAGGGTTTAATGTTCACTGTCAGAGGTTTAACTAAGGCTTCATGCATATATCGCCCGTGCAAAAGGTCCGACAGGCAGACAACCTTCTCTATAGCATGCACATATGCCACGGACAAGCAGAGAGGTGGGAGGTCTGTTTTTCGTGGCCAGCGCGGCGGAGTATTGAGTTCCTCGAAAGATTTGCTACTAACTTTCATTTACCAAAAGATGCCGGATACTACTTAGCCCCCTCAGCCCCACCATCCTCACGCCAGGAACACTAAAAGGGATTCTTAGCGAAACTTACAACCTGAACAGAAACCCACCGGCCAGATGATCCTGGATGCCTTGAACGTTCAGGCAGGGGTTTGGGAGGGCTACTAAAAGGCATGCCAATTCGTGGTTCAGGGTTTGGGGTTTCCAGGTGTTATACAGGGGGTATGTAGGGTTTAGGCGTTTTAGGGCTTTAGGAACTCATGAGTTTTAGGACTTGCGGCTAAAAAGCCTTTAGGGGGCTTAGGGTTTTTGGAAAGTGGGGGTTTAGGACTTCGATGTTAGGGGACTTTTTGAGACTTTTTGTGGCTTTGGATTCTCGAACTTGGGAGTTTAGATTGGGTTTAGGGCTTAGGGGTTTAGGGTTTAGGGGTTTAGGGCTTAGGGGTTTAGGTGTTTAGGGGTTAGGGGTTAGGGGTTTAGGGCTTAGGGGTTTCGGGATGTTGAGGCCTTAGGGCACCCCTAAACCCTTGATCCCGCATCCCAAACCCTCAACCCTCCATCCTGAATCCTCGCACGACCCCTAAAACCCTAAACCCTTAAACCCCTTAAACCCTGAAACTCTCAACCCTTTAAGCCCTAAACCCCTTAAACCCTAAAACTCTAAACCCCCTAAACCTTTTAAGCCCTAAACCCCCTAAACCCCTAAAGCCCTAAACCCCTAAACCCTTTAAGCCCTAAACCCCCTAAAGCCCTAAACCCCTAAGCCCTTTAAGCCCTAAACCCCTTAAACCCTAAAACCCTACGCCCCTAAGCCCTTCAAGCCCTAAACCCCTTAAACCCTAAAGCCCTACGCCCCTAAACCCTTTAAGCCCTAAACCCCTAAACACTAAACCCTAACCTCTAAGCCCGAAACCCCTTAAGCCCTTAAGCCCTGAACCCCTAAACCCAAAGCCCTCGCCTCTAAGCCCGAAACCCCAAACCCCTTAAGCCCTGAACCCCAAAGCCCTCAAGCCCTGCAGGGCTTCGGGTTTGAAGACTCGACGACTTCGGGGTGTGAAGGGTTCTTAAGGGCTCAGGAGACTTAGTAATTAGGGTTATATGGGTTTGTTGTTTAGGGTTTAGGGCTCAGGGGGAGGGGGGAGGGGACTTAGTAAGTAGGGCTTTAAGTCCCCTAAGTGGCGCTATCCTAGATATTTATATATATCCTCACTTGTAACCTTACTTACTAAGTCCTTTGGGCCTTTAAGCTTAGGGCGTTTCGGGTTTAGGGATGAACCTTACAGGGTTTTGGGGGCTTAGAGAAAGTAGGTTTTTGCGTTTCAGGACTTTGGGCCTTGATGACATCCAGACCTTAGGGCTCTGGCACAAGTCTTTCGGGCGAAGGGAGACTGCGATAGGACGGTTCCACTTAGGGCTTAGGGCTTAGAGTTTAAGGTTTAGAGTTTATGGTTTAGGGGTTAGGGCTTAGAGCTTAAGGTTTAGAGTTTAGGGTTTAGGGGGCTTAGAGTCTAAGCTTTAGAGTTTAGGGTTTAGGTGTCAATACTTCCTGGAGCTAGCTACGAGTGTAGCTGCCGCGAAGGCGGAAAGACGGCGGGCATTGCGCCAGTTTGTCCTTGATGACTTTGGTCTGCCTCATGACGATTGTTTCTTTCCTTGCTTCCAGTTAACTGGGTGATGACCTACGGTTGATGATATAAATCCTGCATTACCTTCAGGAGCCTAAACTATGGGAATTATGGTATATTCCTTATATTGGGTAATGCAGGGTTTATACCAGAGTATCCTTTTGCACACGTCGCGGTGGTCAACGAAGCGCTGAAAGCTTGTGTCATTGCCGAAGGCCCTGCCCTCATCTACACGGCCGCGATGAGCGCTCAAAGGACTCCTGGAATCACCTCAGGCGACGCCTTCCAACTTAAGATCCCAGATCTCACGGCAAAGTCCATAAAATCTGCCACGCCCCAAGCAAAAGACGACTGCGCCAAGACGCTATCGTCACTTTGCCCCGGAGGCCGAACCCGGTGCTCCAGCAGATTCTCCCAAGACCCTAAAACTCTAAACCCTTAACCCGAATATGGTCTTGGGGCTTCCGCCAGCCTAGACTCTTGAAGTCCCTGAGAAAAACCAAGAACTCTGACTCAAAGGCCTGGGCCACCTGCGCCTGGTCCACGCTGACGTCTCTCACGCGGAACAGGCCGGGGTCTATCAAGGCTTCCTCAAAGGGGTTTAGGCCGGTTCAGGGTTTCGGGTTCGGGGTTTAGGGTTCAAGGTTCAGGGTTCAGGCTTTAGAATTTAGGGTTCAGGGTGTAGGGTTTAGGGTTTAGGGTTCAGGGTTTAGGGTTTAGGGCTTAGGGTTGAGGGTTTAGGGTTCAGGGTTGAGGGGCTTCGGGTTGGGAGTTCCAGGCTTCCTTGAAGGGTTCCGGCTTAGGGTTTGGGGTTCGGGGTTCTATCGGGGCATTCTTCTGGTTGTGGCTCTTTGGACTTTAGCTTTTGGGGTTCTGGTTGTACTACGATAAATAGGCTAAAAGTTTTAAGTATTAGGAGGG